AAAAAAAAAAAAAAAGAAAGAAAATTTAAATTGTATTGTGTTTTATGGGTTTTAAACAAGGAGTGATGCAATCTGATTTCTAATGGCAAAGAACTAGAAACTATCTTTGGGTCCACCAATAAATATGGTTGCATATTTATACTTTACATACATATGGTTTGCATGTATGGAAAACATCCCAAGTACAGATGCTATGGAATTCAGTATAAACTGGAGTCTTTTGGAAGCTGCTGGCCACAACCAAAATAAATAAAAAGCAACGCCTCTTTCTTCAAGCCAGTCCTCTCCCACTTTTTACTGAAGAAAATAATGGTCTGTGTCCACAATAGGAGTAGAGCCTTTGGGCCCCCAGCCTCTTGTTATCCTCTGTTACTCAGAGACCCACTCTCGTACCATGTGGTTTCTCTTTACACATCTCTCACCTTTAGTTCAAACACAGGTGTATCAATCACTTCTGCACCATGGCGTTTGAAGCAGTGGATGATTGCATCAAAGACCTTCTCCCTAACTGCCATCTGCCGGGGACTGTAGTCTCTTGTGCCCTTGAAGTCAAAATCAGCCAAAGGACAAGGGATGAGATTTAAAAGAACAGTAAGTTCTGGAACTATAAAACGATGATCTCAATAATAAGGAAAGAAAATCCTGCCCCAAATTTAGATTTTTTTCCTACTGTAAAATGAGCACAAATAGTTCTTTATTACTTTGCTATCAGCCTTCTAAATCTCATTCCTCTGGATTGGAATAACCAATTCAAACTGGCTCAACAAGGTGAAGTGTAAATTTTACAAGAAGCTTTTTTTCCCCAACATCATTTTCTTTTAAATTCTAATTAATACTACTATTTGTTCTCTAATTTTTTTTTTTTTGTAGTACCAGAGATCAAACTCAGGACCTTGCACTTGTGAGGCAGGCGCCATGCCACTGAGCTAAATCCCTGGCCCCTCTAATTTATTTTAATTAATTAATTATTTATTTATTTATTTTAGTACTGGGACTCAGGTCCTTGTGCTTGTGAAGCAGGTGGCGGAACCACTGAGCTAAATCCCCGGCCTCCAATTTATTTTTAATAACAGCCCCAGGACAAGTTTATGCAGATACATTTTATACAAATTACAGGATGCTGAAGAGCCACTACTAAGGGCACTCAGCAAACTTGCAGCAGAACTCTGTTCTCCTTCCAGGTTGGTGCTTTTAGTCTGAACTTTTAGAATCTACTCCAAAGTCTTTGGCCTTAGGGCCTCTTTATAGTCTTATAATTAACTATCAATATATACAGTTAGAAATTAAAACCACAAAAGTGTTTGTATTAATGTATCAATTACATGTTGACACAAATAATGTCTTAAGAAAGTATATTTTCGGGCTGGGGATTTAGCTCAGTGGTTCTGCCGCCTGCCTTGTAGGCGCAAGGTCCTGAGTTCGATCCTCAGTACCCAAGAAAAGCAAAAGTATATTTTCTAAAACAAAAATATTTACTTAAAAGTGGCATTCATTACATCTTTACAAATCTTTAATGTCTGGCCTACTAAAAGACAGCTTGTTTGTTTTTTGTGGTACTGGGGATTGAATCCAGAGCCTGCCACTGAGTTACATCCTCAGCCCCATTACCCAGCTTCAGCAACCAGTAACATCTATTATTTCTATTTCATTCAAACCCTGACACTTTTTTCTAAAGTATTTTAACATAAATCTCAGTATCCTATCATTTTCATCCACAAATACTTCAGTATGATTTACTACTGCATAAGGACTTTAAGAAACCTAAAACACTACAATATCTTCATTATAACCATCAAAACTAATAGCAACCCTTAATATTATATCATACCAAGCCATGTTCAATTTTCCCTGACTGCCTCAATAACATCTTATGGTGGCTTATTAGATTCAGACACTAAACAAAATCTATGGATTGTATTTAATTGACATAGCTATTTAATCTACAACTGTTTCATTTCTTTCTTTTTCTTTTTTGTGGTGCTGGGAATCAAACCCAGGGCCACATAAATGCAATGCATGTGCTCTATACCACTGAGCTATACCCTTGGTGTTCCCTGTTTTTCTTTTCATGTCATTTATTTATTGAGGAAATTAGTCATTTGTCCTTTTTTTTCTTCATATTTTAGATCTGGTTAACAATATCCTTGATGTATCTTTTAGATTTGGTTAGAAATATCCTTGATGTGTCATTTAATGTAGTTCTCTGTCTCCAGTATTTCCTGTAAACAGTCTGAAGGCCTGATTAGATTCAAATTCAAATTCTCTTGGCAAGAATGCTTCATAAGTGGTGTTGTGTATTTTTTATTGCACATCAATAGGAATATAATTTCTAGTTGTCCTATTTTTAATGATGCTAAGAGTGATCACTGGGTTTAGGTGAGGATGGACTGATATATCATAAATTTCCTTTTAAGTTTCTACCTTATTCACTACTTTTAATACTGATCTCATCACTGCTTTGGGATTTTACACTGTCTCTCTTTAACCTCTGAAAAAGAGTTGTTTATAGAAAAGAACGGTTCAATGAATTTAAAGCCCAAAGAATTAACCTTCACACAAGGAAGAAGACCATATTCTCTCTGCTTTAGAATTCAATTTCAAATACATTCATCAAAAACCTATTTATTTAAAGGCACTTGGCTTCAGCCTCCCAGGTAAATAAACCACACAAATAACTATGAGAAGTCAGTGCAATAGAAGAGATATGTATGAAGTGTCAAGGGAACCTAGACAAAGAAGTAAATAGTTCTGTTTATAGAACTTACCAAAAGTGGCATTTGAAATGAAATTCTAAGGATGAGTTAAGAATTGCCAACTTCACTCCAGTCTACTCTCCCTCTCTATTTGGTTCTAGTTGTGTAGGTCTTCTTTTAGTTCCTGGAAACTACCAAATCTCTTCCCTGTTTCCAGGTTTCCAAACTACTGGACTAATCTTCCTTACACTCTTTCCTTAGCTATCTCCTACTGTTAGGTCCATTAATATGGGCCTCCCTCAGAAAGGCTTTTTCAGACTCTTTAGCTCTCCTTTATTTTTCTCAGAACACCCTTGTTAATTTCTTTCTAATCACAATTTGTAATTACATATCCATATGTCAGAGTCCTAAATCTGTCTTTTACAGTAGAATATATGCTTCACGAGGGCAGGCTATATTGTCCACCATGGTATATTCGGTGCTTTACACTATGTTAGGGACACAGTAAGCACTCAATGAATATTTACTGAACAAAGGAGTAGGCACCAGCAGGCCAACTCCCCTGAGTATCCAGCTGGCCTCATTTTTGTCATCACTTTGCCATCCCAGAATGACTCAGAGTTCAACCCACTCTAGCGCCCAGAACAGATATTGTTCCTCTGCAATATTTCAGACCCTCCTCAGTGACCTGATTCAGGGAAGCCAACATATGTGCCCTTGTTAATAAAATTAGAGCCTCTCTCTGAGGCCTCCTATAGGAATGGCATTACCTTGGGGGTTTTGAGCACAAATTTCTGTTTGCTTTCATCAGAGCCCAGCTGTGCTTTCAGTTTCAGGAGTTTTGCCACTTCCTCTTCGACCTGTAGAGGGAAAACAGCTGCTGGACTATCAATCCTTCACTCCCTTCCCTATCCTGGCCATTCATACTATATTCCTCCTTCATCAGAAACTGAGGCTGGTCTGTCTGCCTCGGCTTTGCCTTGCTTCTCTTGGGACCCACCGTAGTTATCTCATGACCCAGCCCATCCTTCTCCCCGCCAGCGCAATCCCTCCCTCCACATCCCTGCCCTCTGTATAGAGCACCTGGCTTACAGTCCCAGCCTGCTTTGCCAGGCACCTCCCCTACCGCCTGGATCGTACCTGCTCGGCGTTGGCCTTCTGCTGTTTGAGGCTCCGCACGCGCTCTCCCTGAAGTCGTACCAGCTCCTCTAGCGAAGCACGGTTTGCCATCCCGGCAGCCAAATGGAGCTGACTGCTGCCTGGACTGGCCTTGGTGGACTCAGTCCGGATGACTTCCGGTTATCCGGTTATCGAGTCGCGAGCCGCAGGCCTAGAGAGTCTCCGCCGAGTGCGCAAACCATTTCCGGGTCAGGGATCTTGGGGGAAAGGTAGAGTACAGTATGTGGGAATAGTTCAGTGTCCCTTAGTGCTTGGGCTCCGTGTCTCCAGCGCCATACGTTATTTCTGGGGATGATTCTGGCTCATCCCCAGGACTTGGGCTGCTGTCTCTGAAAGCTGTGTCCCGCAGCATGATGCCACAACTCGGACTCTTGCCCAGGAGGGCCTGCGCTGCGCTGCTCAGCCAGCTCCTGCGCCGCGCTGCGTGCAACCATGCTGTCGGTTACCATAGCCAGGTGAGCCAGACTGAGATAGCTCGGGTCTGTTGGGGAAGGACCGCTGGGTGTGAAGACATGGACAGTTATTACAGTTGGTTTTTTTTGAGCGCCCGCTGTACACTGGCACTGAACCAAACATTTTGGATGCTTTGTTATTTAATAATTAGAGCAATCTTAAGTTGGGATTTTCCATTTTACAGTTGAGAAAACGGAGGATGCAAGGTTAAATGACTTACCTGCACGTACGTAGCAAGCGAGTATTTTAATGTAGTTCCCCATTTCATTAACTCGAGTTCTTAGAGTCACCACTTTCATATTTGTTAAGCAGGGCCGGGGATTTAGCTCAGCGGTTCTGGCGCCTGTCTCGCAAGCGCAAGGTCCGGAGTTCGATCCCCCGTACCAAAAAAACCCCACAACAACCATATTTCTTAACCAAAATACATGGATATTCCACTGAATGAGATAGCTAAAGACAGTAAGTAGTTCGTATTACTTTAAAGTGAGTCTGAGAAAAACATTGTCAGTTTTCAGAGAAGTTTTGGTTTGAGAATTATAGGGGGTTGTGGACTTGAACAGGACTTCTCTTTGGGGAGAGAATCTCAGTAAGGAGCTAGCATATTCCCAACTGCTGTAAGGGCATACAGCCTGCCGGTAGTGTTTAAGTCAATGATTCTGTTTTGCCTTCAGAAAGTCCCAAATGACCTCTTAAGAGATTCTTTGTGCTGTCATGAACAATAGAGCTAAGATTTTTTGTTAATTTTCAGTCACAGCCAGGCATGGTGGAGGACGCCTGTGGTCTCAGCACTTAGGAGGCAGAGGCAGGAGGATTGCTGCAAATTCAAGGCCTGTGTGGGCTACATAGTGAGTTCAAGGCCAGCCTGAACTGCATAGAGAGACCCTGTCTCAAAAAGCCAAACCAAACCAAAACAAAAAAAATTCAGTCACAGAATCCTACAAGTTTTTGAGTTCGTTCAGGAATTGCATTCCTTTCATTCAACAGGCTTGTTCTGTGTTCTTGGGCTGGCCCTCTATTCAAATTACATTTACCTTATCTCTAAGCCTGATAAATAATGCTATCTTACTAAGAATTCTTATTTTTGCTGTTTGAGTAGGAACTGAGAACTGGAAGCATTCATACCTCTGCTCCTATACCAGGATTGGGGTAGTGGTGGTAGTAGTGGTATTTTGTTTTGTACCTTCATTGTTCTCATGTGCTTAAACTTTTGCAGACATTTAAAAACTTCAAATACAGTGAAGAGTGATAGCAACTTGACTTCATATATATTACACGTAAAATTTTAGATACAACATGGGTTCTTAAGGGAGGGGATCTGAGATCAGAATAAATAAAATGGGTGCTCTGGCTTCCTCTTGCTCAAGGTCAAAGATCCTTGCAGACAGGTGCTCCATAGGGTGAGAGATGTCATAGGTCTGGCTCGTGTCCAGAAAAGGTACATTTTATATTCTTTCTTCTGCCAGATTGTGGAGGCTGTGTTAACATCCCAACTGAAACCATATCAAAAGAAACCAAATTTTATCAAGATCCCAAAGGTAATGTCGTTTACCCATCTTACCCCATTAGAACACCATGGAGGACTGACCTCTGCTGGACTTATCTCTCTAACTTCTTGTAATATCTTTTTGAGCTAAGTTTCAAACAAAAGCAGAAACAAAGACCTTTTCTATTCTTGACATACTAGGTGAGGGTCAGAGTTATCTGAACTAAAAAAATTTCAGGCCAAGTGTGGTAGTGCACACCTGTAATCTGAGTTACTTGGGAAAATGAGGCAGGAAGACCACAAGTTCATGGCCAGTCTGGGGAATGTAGCAAGACTCTGTCTCAAAAATAAATAAAAAGGGGTAGGGATGTAGCTTAGTGGTAGAGTGCTTGCCTCGCATGTCCAAGTTCCTACACTCTACAAAAAAGGAAAAACAAAAACCACATTCAGTCCACACCTTACGTTATAATTTTTTTTTTTTTTTTTTTTGGTACTGGGGATTGAACTCGGGTCCTTGTGCTTGTGAGGCAAGCGGTGGAACCACTGAGCTAAATCCCCGGCCCTATAATTTAACTCTTTGTCTTAAGTGGACTTGTTTTTTGTTTGTACTTTGACCACTTTCGGTTTCCAGGGCACCAGGGATCTTAGTCCCAAGCAGATGGTTGTGAGGGAGAAAATTCTTGATATGGTTATCAGTTGCTTTAAACGTCATGGAGGAAAGGGATTGGATACCCCAGCATTTGAACTAAAGGTAAGGGGAAAAGAGTCTGGAATCCCTTTTCTTCACTTGCCTTCAGTGTCCCAGAGGGCTTCTCATCTGTGTTCTTTAGTTATCATTTGAATTGCGGCTCTTTCTGTTTGATCCCTGCAGGAAATGCTCACTGAGAAGTATAATGAGCAGTCTGGGCTCATGTATGATCTGGAGGATCAAGGTGGAGAGCTGTTGTCCCTTCGTTATGACCTTACTGTATCTTTTGAGTTCTGGAGACTGACCTGTTTCTTTCCAAATCTAGAGGACTTTCTCTGACAAGGGAGGAGCGTGTCTGTGGGACTCTATGGCTCCATTGGCAGTAGCCTTTACTTCTAGTTTCTCCTAAAAGTCAATTCTGCCAGCAGAGCCTGGCCTGGAGACCTCAGGGAAGTTTACTGAAACATATTCCTAGCTCCAGGGATTCTTAATTTTATAATACGAGTAAGAGTCAAAAACTTGCATTTTTAAGTAGACATCCTGGGTAATTAAAATGCCTTGGTAATTAAAATGTCCTTGGCCTACACTTTCACAAACAAAGACTTGATATTGGAGGCAAGTCCAGGCTAGAAGCTTGACTACTATATTTAGAGATAGATGGGTATTAATCTGAATGGGAGGAAATGGACAAGACTTGAATTTTTTTGTAATTTCTATTTCTTCTCCTACTCTGCTCAACTTTCAGTGTTGCTAGGTGAAATTCCTTCATTTGACACTATTTAGTATGATTTGAATGCCAAGCACTGCCAAATCTTGGGGATAGTGGGAAACAAGGCAGAGAAGGTCCTTGTTCTCAATACATTAAATAAGATCAAATAGAGGTCCAGTCCCCTTTAATGTCTGTATACTGGACCTAAGCATTGACTGCAATATTTTCCTTAACCTAGTTATGTGAGGTCCCTTTTGCCCGTTATCTGGCCATGAATAAACTGAAGAAGATGAAACGCTACCAAGTTGGAAAGGTGTGGCGAAGGGAGAGTCCATCCATAGTCCAAGGCCGCTATCGGGAGTTCTACCAGTGTGTAAGTGACCTGATGGGGACAGCATAGTTTGATAGTTAACCTGGGAATTGGTTCATCAGTGGAGGTTCTTTCCTGTCTTCTTTGTTACAGGATTTTGATATTGCTGGTCAGTTTGACCCTATGATCCCTGATGCAGAATGTTTGAGGATCATATATGAAATACTAAGTGGGTTGCAGCTGGGAGATTTTCTCATTAAGGTAAGAGCAAGACTAAGTGAGAAGTCTGGATTTGGCCTGGTTGTGTGTGTGTGTGTGTGTGTGTGTGTGTGTGTGTGTGTGTGTGTGTATATATATATATATATATATATATATATATATATATATATATATATGAATGCTCCTCCTGTGAGAGTTCCTTTTTTCCCCTTTTACAAGTCAGAGAGTTAGGAACTGCCATTGTTTTTGGGGACAGGACCTTGACAGGACCCTTGGGTTACACTGAGTTTACAGGTCAATGATCGGCGAATTATAGATGGGATTTTTGCTGTCTGTGGTGTTCCTGAAAGCAAATTCCGTACAATCTGTGCCTCGATGGACAAACTAGACAAGGTAAAAAAGATCCTATATAATGGTTTCTATACTGCCCTGAAATCCATACCATTAGAGAAAAATAAAAGAGATAGTGACTGGAAGTGAGCTAAATATGGGAGGAATATAAGGAGACATTCTGAGGCAAGATCTGAGTTGTACAGTGGGGATTGTGACTGTATTTCTTAAGTTGGCTTTTGATTTTTCTGAGTATACTATTGGCTACTTATGATGGCCATACTAAATGAAACTGAAATGTCTTTTTCCAGCAAGACAAAGGACTTGAGACTGAGGTAATGTTCGTGTATTTATGCAGATATCTTGGAAAGATGTGAGACATGAAATGGTGGCAGAGAAAGGCCTGGCTCCTGAGGTGGCTGATCGAATTGGGGACTATGTCCAACATCATGGTAAGAACCAGGATTTTCAGACCTGTGACAGAATCAGGCTGAAGGTAACCAGTGTTCAACTTCCACCTCTGAATCAGCTCCCTTCTGTAGATGTGCTAAGCTCCAGAATCTTGCCTGAATTTAATTTCCCTTTTATTTTAACTACTTTGTGTCTCTAGATGGCAAAGGTAGAGGAGGAGAGTGTGGTCATCTTTTTAAAGGAAATGAGGACTAGATAGAGCACTTAAAGATAAATTTGGTAAAGCACATCTTTGGTAAAGGCCTTCTTCTCCCTCATTTTTCTCTCCAGGTGGTGTATCTCTGGTAGAGCACATGCTCCAGGATCCCAGACTATCCCAGAACAAGCAGGCCCTAGAGGGCTTAGGGTCCTTGAAGCTTCTTTCTGAATACTTGACTTTATTTGCAATCATGGAGAAGGTCAGCTGAGTTGGGGAGTAGACCTGGTGAACTTGAGAGCTGAGTCTAGGGCTGTCACAGTCTGGTCCGGGACTGATTATAATCTTGCTCCACAGATCTCCTTTGACCTGAGTCTTGTTCGGGGCCTGGACTACTATACAGGAGTGATCTATGAAGCTGTTTTGCTACAAACCCCAGCTCAGGCTGGAGAGGACCCCTTGAATGTGGGCAGTGTGGCTGCTGGTGGGCGCTATGATGAGCTGGTGGCCATTTTTGACCCTAATGGCCACAGAGTGCCATGTGTGGGGCTGAGCATTGGAATAGAGAGAATCTTCCATATTGTGGAACAGAGGATGAAGGTAGGTCTTAGGGGTGAGATAGTGCTGGAGGCCTAAAAACCCATTTTGGGAGGTGCAGCCAGACTGTTTTTCTGACAGTTCTTTTATCTTGTTTTTGGAATTTCTGATGGAGGGGAAGTTTTGATTAGTTTTACTTTCTTGTCTTTTATCAGACTTCTGGTAAGAAAGTTCGAACCACAGAGACTCAGGTGTTTGTGGCCACACCCCAGAGGAACTTTCTTCGAGAACGGTTAAAGCTAATTGCAGAGCTCTGGGATGCTGGGATCAAGGTATGGTGGAGCTAATTTCTGAGGCATCTAGGTACATATAGAATTTAGGAGCAGTAGTGGAACTCAAGGCCTTTTTATTTTATTATTATTATTATTATTATTATTTTTTTTTTTTTTTTGGTACCGAGGATCCCATTCAGGTCCTTGCGTTTGTGCAGCAGGTGGCGAAACCACTGAGCTAAATCCCCGGCCCAAGGCCTTTTTAGTTTACTATGAGAGAGCTAGCCACTTATTTCTGGCTTTTTAAAAAATACATGTTTGGGGGGTTTGTGTGCTATGGTCACTCTTAAGTCCCCTACTCTAACCCTTTTCAGGCAGAGATGCTATACAAGAATAACCCCAAACTATTACCCCAACTGCAGTACTGTGAGAAAAGAGGCATTCCCCTGGTGGTCATTATTGGTGAGGAGGAACAGAAGGAAGGGGTCATAAAGCTCCGTTCAGTGGCCACCAGAGAGGAGGTGAGTGAAGGCTGGCAGCAATAGAAGGGATCAAGTTTCTCCTTTTCTCAGATTTTTATTTATTTATTTATTTATTTTTGTACCAGGGATCGAACTTGGGTCCTTGCGCTTGTGCAGCAGGCGCCGAAACCACTGAGCTAAATCCCCGGTCTTTTCTCAGATTTTTAAAGAAATGTGTCTTTTGGCTGAGGAAGTATCTTCAGGGCTAATGGTGGTAGAGATGAATGAAGTCCCATCTCCAGCAACCATTACAGGCAGCAAGTATTGGCTAAGTGGACAGGAGGAGGACAGATGAAATCTGCATGGTTGTTTTGAGACTAGTCAATAACAAAGACATAATTAGGTGTTTGACTCCCCTTAGTCTTTAGGGTGTACATTCTCTCAGTCAGTTTATTCCCTAATGGCTGTATAAACGGTAGGACAGATACAGAGTAAAATGCATCTGGAAAAAGTGGTTAAAGAACTAGTATCACTTTATTTGTTACCTGAGAGCTCTTATGTTTCAGGAGGCCATTAAACGGGAACATCTTGTGACTGAAATTCAGAAGCGACTGTCTCAGTCTTGAGGCTTGCGTGATTGCCATCTGGTGCTCTGTGTATAGAAGTTTTCATCTAGCATTGAGTTCCTGATGAACTTCATAACAGCTGGCCAGCATGGGTGACAAGTCCTTTCAGCCTCCTCTCTCCTTGAATACACAAGAATGGGGAGACTCCTGGACTAGTGTAAACAGGTACTCTCCATGGGGCCAGATGGCAATAATGTGAAAGAGACACGCTACAGCAGAAGAGGCAGATTTGAAGTGCCACTGAATGCCACCTAGAGGTGCTAAAGTTGCTGTGAGCAAGGCTCTGGAAAAGACCTCTCCAGGTTGAAGATACTGAACCACTGACATCAGAGACCAGATACTTAGCTTTCCACTTAGCTTTGGAACTAGATTCTGGGAAATTTGTCCACATCCAGCCTTTGGCTTGTCCATGAAGTTTTGGGAATACAGCTGAGATAGACAGTGACAACTTTCTGCTTTGAGGACACAAATATTGTATGATCCCAGGGGCTCGGCTGTGCCTATATCAATCTGGCATCTTTTTAGCCCAACCCCTGTTAACAGTAGCAGGATGGGGCTGGTATTTAACAATCTGGAATACTGAACTTAATGGATGATTTGGCAAGATGGAGATCTGATCTGAGATTTTGAAGACCATTTCCTGTTCTAGAATTGCTGTCCTGACTTTCTGTACCTTGCCATGAAGGCTTTTCTAGAAGTGGTTGAATAATATGTTAAATAAAATGTTAAGTATAGTTTTTTAGGTAATTTGTTATCAAGGGATTTGCATAGGCCATAGAAAATGCTTGAGTGCACACTGGAGAATTCGGTGAGCTAGGAGTAACCTCCCTGGGGTGATGTTTATGTATTCAGCAAGGGAGCGGCCACAGTTCCTCTCTCCTCCCCTCTGCGCAGCTTGGAGATACAGTCATTAAAAATAAAATTTCCGGGGATGTAGTTCAGTGGAACTACGCCTGCCTTGCAAGCACAAGGTCCTGAGTTCACTCCCTGGTACTGAAAAAAAAACAAAACCAAAAAAACCCAAAACAAAAATAAACATATAGTGAGCCATCTGCCAGAGTGCTTCACTCTGCTTTAGTGGTCCCTGGCCTGTGGGAACTGGGTTGCACAGCAGGAGGTGAGCAGGAGGTGAGCAGCGGGTGAGCAGCTGGTGAGCCAGTGGAGCTGCCCACCATTGCATGAATTATTGTCTGAGTTTTGCCTCCTGTCAGATTAGCAACAGCATTAGATTTTCACACCAGAATGGACTCTATTGTGAACTATGTATGTGAAAGACCTAGGTTGTGTGCTTCTAATGAGAATTGCATCTCCAAACCAATCCTCCCCCCAACCCCCTTCATGTGTCTGTGGAAAAACTGCCTTCTAAGAAACCATGTAACTGGTCCCTGGTACAAAAAAAGGTTGGGGAATGCTGCTCAAAGGTGTTGCTGATGACCTATCTTCCCAAGTCCAATCATGTTGATTAAATTGTGCGTTACAGACTGAATGACTGTAATGTTCTCCAGCTGAAGGAAAAATGAGTTAATCAAGGGTAGCATTGTCAAAAGAAAAACCCCAATGCGAAAAGCCCTTTTCTTCTGTGACTTGAGGAAGGTGCAGCAGTGTAGCTTTGGGCCACATCACTAGTGCATGCTGGTCAATGGGGCATCTAGAACCGCTAATAACACTAGAGCCTTTAAAAGATTTAGGGCTGGGGATTTAGCTTAGTGGTGCTGCCGCCTGCCTCGTAAGCACAAAGTCCGGGGTTCGATCCCCGGTACAAAAAAAAAAAAAAAAGATTTAGGAAAGAGGGTTACAAGTTCGCGGACAGCGTGGGTAATTTATCGAGACCGCGTCTCAAAAAGTGAAAGGCTGTGGTATATAGTAATAGCCCAAGTTCAATTTCCAGTACCCACGAACCGGGGGTGGGGGGAGGCTTAGAAATTCAACTCTTGGCAATGCACGCACAGTTGATTAGCTTACGTCTGAGAGCAGTGCTTCCGAATCTCGATTTTTCTCCTTCGTAAGATAGACAACTTGAACTAAACGCCTTCCATGCTTGTTTTGAAAGCCAGGGCCAAAACAAAACAAAACGCGTTAGCACGCGCCCTTACTTCCGCCTTGCTTCATACTCCCCTTGCGCCTGCGCTTTCTTCTTGGAGCGGAGGCGGGACCGACATGCCTGTTTCACAAACCCTCCAGTCCTTAGCTCCTTTAGAACAGGAGACTCTGAATTTATTGGAGGGCGATTTTGCCTTACGGCTCTTGTCTGCTTTTTACGACACTTTCCGGCTTCCCATTCACTTCGCTGTGAAGATGGCGTCGGGCAGCGGGGTAAGTGATGTGTGTGAGAGGAGGTATGCGGGGTGGGGGTGGGGACACGGGTGCCTTCTCAGCGCTGAATAGAGACACGCGCTGGCACTTGACTGGCTTCCCGACACCTCTTCGCGGTTCCACGGTTCGGGTCTGAGAATTCTTCCATAAGGCCCTGATGCAGGGACCGTGGAATCGCCGAGGTCTCTTGGGTTGGGTTCTTGAGTCGACCTCAGCTTCCTTTCTGTGAGGTCCAGAAAGGCTTCGTTTTCGAAAGCTCCTGGGGTCGTCTTGTTGGCAAGGACGCAGTTTCCTCGGTTTCTCTAGGGGTCTGGACAGGAGTAGTGACGGATCTTCAGCGCTTTTTTCCCTACAGGCAAAAAACTTGGACTTTCGCCGAAAGTGGGACAAAGATGAATACGAGAAGCTTGCTGAGAAGAGGCTCACAGAAGAGAGAGAAAAGAAGGATGGTGGGTGCCCGCTTCATCAAGGGCTAAGGGTATCATAGAAGTAATGAAGTGGTTGGAGAGCGGTTGGGGAGTTAAGATGAAACTCTTCCGCCCTGTGTCACTTTTGGCGGTGTTGCCTCCCAGGTCCTCGGTTTCCACATTCATAAAATGAGAGCGAGGAGGTGTACTGCAGTGGTTTTGCGGTGCTCTTCAGCCTTGGTATCCTCTGCTTTCTTGCTCTCTCTTTGCTTGATTCTTTTAGTGCTTTCCTGAAGTACAGAGGGCCCTGGAATTCTTAGTAGTGACAGAGAAGAAGTTAAGTGGAGTATTTTGCTGTTGAAGATTATTGCTATGGATGACACGCTCTATTCTTTGAAATTTTTTTAAGGAGTAGGAGGACATTCTTGAACCAATCAGGATGCTTCCTTATAGTCTGAGAAAAGCACTGGTACTCACCAGGAACAAATGATTGTTTCATTTAATGCTTAGTGGTACCATTTCTCTGTGCTTTGTAGTGTCAAGGAATTGTGTTCCTTTCCTAGATAGGTTACTTTTTACAAAAAGAAATGGTTTTTTTTTTTTTTTTTTTGAGGCAGGGTCTCCCTTTGTAGTTCAGGCTGGCCCTGAATTCCCTTCGAACTCACAGCGATCCTCCTGCCTTAGCCTCTGGAGTGCTACCACGCAGGCTAGAAATGTCAATACTAGTTTTCAAACATTCTTCCACACCACTTGCACACACTCAGCTTTTTGTGTAAGATGTATAATAGAGTGCTTGGTATGCCTGTTATGTAAATAAGTATTTCCTAAATGTTGGCCCCTTTTTAAAATTTGACTCAGTCCCTTAAAAATCCCTTTTTGTATTATGCTTAGGGTCTCTGCCTAAAAGCATTACTGAGTATCCTTGCTCCTCTTTTTTTTTTTCCTTGCTCCTCTTTTGAAAAGGTTGCTTCAAGTGAAAATTTAGAACTTCACTCCCACCTCAGTCAGTGAATTAATGGGTAGAGAAAACATATTCCTTTTAGACTTGCTAGCTTTCTTCATTCATTTATTTTTTTGAGACAGAATCTCACCAAATTCCCTGAGTTGGCCTTGAACTTGTGATCCTGCCCCTGATAACAAGGGTTTGGGATTATAGGCCTGTACCACCATGCCTGGCTAGACTTGCTAGTTTTTGTTTTTTCCGGTACATGGGATTGAACTCAGGACCTTGTTCGAGCCAGGCAGGCATGGCTCCACTGAGCCACATCCCTGGCATACACTTGCTAGTTTTAAAGTGGAGAAAAGCTCAAGAAAGTTGGAGATTGTTTATCATTTTTTTCTGTACTCACATTCTTCCTGGCTGCTGCAAACTGGTACTTGAAGTGTTTGTTGTGCCCCGTCTTTCGGGAATCAAAGAAATGAGAATAGTCCTCTGAATTTTGAGTTTCATGTATTATTTGCTTTCTAATTGTGGAACTATAAAGGGACAGTCTTCCCAATCTTGTTTCAGGAAAACCAGTGCAACCAGTCAAGCGGGAGCTTCTGCGGCACAGGGACTACAAAGTGGACTTGGAATCCAAGCTTGGGAAAACAATTGTCATTACCAAGACCACCCCACAATCTGAGATGGGAGGGTGAGTGGCTTTTTGTTTTTCTCTAAAGCCCGGAATGGGTTTAGTAAACTACCTATGTTGGTTTTAGAAAGTGTCGAGGAGGGTCAGTAACGGCCTTGTTACGCGTAATTCCAGCCTTAGATTTTTTTTTTTTTTACACCCAAGGTCACATCACAGTAGTGTCTCCAAAAGGAGTTGTTTGGTGATCGTTTTCATATTGGAATTATAAATACTCCCTAATATCTTAATAGGGATTATTTGTTCTGTCAGAAGAAATGAAGGAACTCCTGAGGACTTTCCTAGGGGAAATATTAGAAGGAGTGGAAATGGGGTCAGGAAACTGTTAATGATGAAAAAAGGGGTGTTGAGCTTCTAGAATAGCTCTGAAGGCTGTAACTATTATGGAAGTTACCTGGTTGTGCACTTTTTTCCTAGACCAAGGCTGGAACCTTCAGGAAGAAGAGTTCTACAAAAATTTGCCACCCTTTTGCCCACCCCTCCTCCTCTATCCAGTTAGGATTTCTTGCAGGAGGACAACACGGATAGCAGTTACTTAACACTTTCTCTGAGCCGTTCATAAACCCATCATTGTCATTTTTCTCAGTGTCAGTTATCCTTTTTTTTTTTAGTTAGTTAGTTATCCTTTATTATATAAATTAACAAATGAACTCATTTTGGCAGCATAAAATAACAAATAGCTCGTAGTTTCTGTGGGCAGGAGATCTGAGAGAAGTTTACCAAGGTAGTTCTGGGTCATGTCTCATGAAGCTTTGTTGTTTTTTTTTTTTGTACTGGGGATCGAACTTGGGACCTTGTGCTTGTGAGGCAGGCAGCAGAACCACTGAGGTAAATCCCCAGCCCTTGTGAAACTTTGTTTAAGGAGTTGGCTGGGTCTGCATTTATCTAAGACTTAAATAAGGTTGGAAGATCTACTTTCAAGCTGCTACGTGTGTATGGTTTGGAGGCTAAAGTTCTGTACCCCGTGGGCCTCTTCATATGTTGTTCACAACAAATCAACTAGCTTCCTCAGAGCAAATAATCACACAATTGAGAACCACAGTTTTTTATAACCTAGTCTTGGAAGTGCTATGCTATCACTTTTAACATAACTTCCTGGTCTCACAGACCAACCCTGGTACAGATTGTAAAAAGCTTACAGGCTGGGCATTTAGCTCAGTGGTACCAAGCCTGCCTTGCAAGCACAAGGTCCTGAGTTCGATCCACAGTACCAAAAACAAAAACAAACACAAAAAAACCCTTTCTTTAGGGGGCCGGGGATTTAGCTTAGTGGTTTTGCCACCTGCTGCATAAGCTCAAGGACGCGAGTTCAATCCCCAGTACGAAAAAAAGAAGAAGAAATACTGGCCGGGGATTTAGCTCAGTGGTTCCAGCGCCTGCCTC